ATTTATTGGGTATCTAAAAATTCAACTACAGGCAGGTTAGAGGAGTAAAACATGGGGACTGTACAGTAAATATAATATATTCACACAATTTCATTTAATTTAAAATATTTAAGAGAAAATTAGCACTGTGTAGGCGTTTGCTTGGGCGTTGCAGCCTGGGGCCAATCAGTGTTTGCAAATAATTCATAAATGCTATATCAGTAAGTAACACTGTTCTCAGTTTGGGTATTAAGTGTTCAGTGCTAATGTGAAGGTGCCTACCTAGCTTAATTCTTAATCTCTAATACCTTCAGTACATTTTCTTTATTAATTTACGTGTTCAAGTGCATTTGTTTTTATGTAATATTATAATGTTGCCCTTATTTCCTCTAATGTTAATCATGTGTGGTCTTTAAGGCGTGCTAACCCCTGAACCATTTATCATTTATCACTTTGCTTTTTAGTGGGAAAAAAAAAATACTGCGACCACATATCATTTAAATATGTAGATAACTGCACACATTTTCAGACTGTCCTGACAGGCAAGTGAATGTGAATGGCAGATTGTCGGTTTCAGAAAGTTACAGGAATGGTCAGACACAGCCCCCATAATCCAACGCTGGAAACACGTGGGAGGAGGGGGTGTTACTGAGCCTATTCAACCACCCAACATGCTGCTCTGAAGACGCATACTGACAGCTTAATTCATGCCTCTTTCTCACCTGTGCGACATACCAGATGGTCAGAATTTAAAGTAAACTGAGAAAAGAATCCTAAATGGACTTTAAAATGATGTCTTGTGTTCATGCAAACCTTTTTTCTTGCCTTCATCATACTTTTCATGAGTTTCTCTACAGATTTCAAACACGGTTTGAAATGACTGGTCTGTAATTTTGTTTTTAAATATTGAATTGGCATTCTGTTGGCATAATTTAATTAAACCCCCTCTACAGAAGATAAAGGAGTTGAATTTGGACGAGTGGAAGAACATCCGTGGCCCCCGTCCCTGGGAGGACTCCAAGGAGTACCAGGAGCAGCAGCGCTCCAGGGAAACCAAAAAAGGCTGAAGTCGTCGGATGCACACACAGACTGCACACACTGCAGCAGAACGGACCGGGCGAGAGTGGATGGAGTCTGTGGCGAAGGCGCCACTGAGAACCAATTACCCCAGACGCTGCTACTTGGGGACATGGAAATGTAAATTGGTTTGTAACAAGTTGTGGTCTCTTCTGGTTGTAACACATTCAGGACTACTGGTGGTTAGGATTAAGCCACATGAGGCCAAAACAATCGAGCTGAATAACTTGGCTCAAGGTTGGTCTTAAATTAAAAAGAAGTGTGCATCGGTTCTTATCGTTTTATACACACAAGTATAAAGCAGTCACCTGTTGGTGGCTTATTCTCCACTCTGATGATCATGAGTTTGTAATAAAAAAACAACCAGTAGGTGGCACATCTGTGTCCTACTTCTCCTTACCTTTCTCACAGAAAGCAAAGAAGGAAATATATATCAATGTATGCATTTCCATGTCTCAATAAATTATGTACTATTGATCCAAATTGTTACTTTTTATTTAGTTTTTGACAAAAGCCTGTAGATGCGGTGAGTCTTTGTTTACAACAGTATTGCATTGATTTACCAGTTTAAAGTATAAAAGAATAAATAACACAACAGTCCAGCGTTTCCTCAGGCTTTATAGGTCTCGACAGTAATCTGTTTCTCTGACAGTTATTAGTTTGCAATGCGGTGGATTTATTACGTTTATAATGGAAATAGTATTACCTTTTTGCTTTTTTTTTATGCTACAAACCGAAAGAACATGATTTTAGCTGTAAGTCTTCAGATTGTAAGTAATGTTTGGGTAACTGACAGATAATGTATGTACTGCTTTCCCTCATTCAGTTTGTGAAATAGGATGTAATGAATATTATTCAGGTGGAGAAGTCTGCATGAAAATGTCCTCGGATACATTTTCTGTAATCACATTTTTTATGTTCATGATTGTACCCACTGTTTCTCAGGCTGTATAATTTATGGGACTCAAACAGCAGCTCCTAGATGAGGTTTATTTTTTCATGCTCAGGTTGTACAGATCTAAATTCTTGCTCAGTGTTGTTTTGTCGCTGGCTGTTTGCGTGTCAGGCCCGAGCTGCCACGAAGCAGATATTGCCTCTAATCCGCCGAACGCATCTGAACGACAAAGCGGAGCAATGAACTAATTTGTCACCATATTGGCAGATCAGATCGAGCCTTTCTAGTCAGGCTCTGTCTGTTTCTGAAGAGGGTTTTCTAAATTTGGAATAGCCACATGTTTGGTGCATCTGTAATCTTAGAGGTCAATCACACATGTATTCTGGATGCTCCACAGGCTGCCCCTGGGCTGTTTTTTGATTAGATATGTATTGAAAAGTGAGGAAGCTGCTGTTTCTAACAGTGGGAAAGAAGAAATATTGAGTTTGATGATAGTCAATAAGCCAATCTGAACTGTACTTTGGAGGTTGTGGTTTATACTGTAAGGGTAGCTAGCTGCAATGGTGGTATTAAGTATCAGGATCTTTTACAGTACATTTTTAACTGGTTATGGATCGGTCTTAATTTAATACTGATGTTTCTGTATGACAACACCATCAGCAAGAAGATTGGCTCTTTTAATATAGTTAAGTACTGTTTATACAAAACACAAGTTGAAACAACAATAGGACAAGTCTCTATACACAGTATCTTTAGCCACTGATTGAACTGTCCATACAGGCTAAATTTGTCCAGTAAGTATGATTTTAAAAGAACTACACTATGTTGCAACTGAGTCCGTTTGCCATCTGATATAATCAATAAAGGGACACCAGATCTTTGTAAATTTACAGTATGATGCAGATGATTAGCACTGAATCTCCTCTAAATAAAGACAGGAAACAATATAACATCTCCAGTATCTAACCATGCGTAAGTTTGTTTGGGTTAAGACATCGTTTTTACATTTTAAAAAATCGATGAGACACTGAGGTTTCAAACTACGGCTCGATTTCCCAGTGGGGTTGAGGCAAAGATACCAGGTGAGGTGAAAGGCTCAGGTACGTGAAGGTGTTCTAAAACAACAGCAAGTTAGTTATTGTAGTTTACTGTTTGGCCAGCTCATAAACACGGTCAGCAGCTGGAGCTGCAGCAGTGGCTGACACACAACTGATGGAGTAAAACCCTAATACCACAAGACTGAACACAATACACATAACCCTATATTTAGATTCAGTGTGACTTACACTTTCCAAGGATTATTTCCAATGTCCATCGCAAATAAAAAGGTTAAAAAAAATCATAGATCATAAATCCTCTTCCACAGTTTAAACTTTAAAAACCCCAGCTTTGGGTGATACACAAAACACTAATCTGCTCTCATAGGGACTATTTCTTTAGTAGAAAGTAGTTCCAATGAAAAATATTGTTAGGTGTATGTTTTTTGATTATTTGAGAGAACTGAACATTATAAAGAATGACAATTTTTACCATGGAAGTCTCCATACTTGAAATGGTGTAAGAAATTAACCTTAGACTTATTTACACATTTTCTTCACTTCCTCCACAGTCCTCCTTAAATGTACACCATATGGTATTTATTTAGCTGTGTATTTGGTGAACCATCTGTAACCTTACTAATTGTGCAAAGCCATGCCGCATCACAGCTCCTCCATAGAGCCCAATTCAAGTGAACCATGTGAAGTAAACTTGAGAGCACTGAAGCACAAGATATGTTACAGCACACTACAGTTCTCTTATACTGCATGGGTGTAGTCATCAGAGGGCAAACTGGGTCAGGCCTTGCTATCCAAAGTGAGCTGTCGGTGTGCATGATAAATTGGAGTTCTAATTGGAAGTAGTCCCGCCCCTTCACGTGCTGTTAAATTTTTAATTTGAAAATGCATGGAAACGCGATCAAATATTCATTGGACATGGCTAAGAAAAGGGGAAATCAAATTCAATATTTACTACATCGTTCTACGAGCGGGAGAACTAATGAGGACTGAAAAACAAGAATCATGTAACTGGTTGAAATTCAGTGGCCCTGTGACAACTGGGACCATGAAACGCTAGAAATCTATAATCCCTATAATCTTCCAAGGGCCCTTTCCAGCTCTCAGGCTCCTGAATCATTCAGATATTCCCTTCTAATCTGCGGCCCTGTGAGTTGGTTTTCCATGAATCAAACTGGCTGCTGCCAGATCATTACAGCTCTGATGTGGAAACACTCTGTAGGAGAGAGTCAGTGCTCAGCGTTTTTTGGCCCTTGATAAATAAAAAATCCTTCCTCCCAAACACAATCACACGCACTCATACACACTCCAGATGATGATTAATTACCACTAGTATTATCTCACAAGACGACATTTTTCACAACGATTAGAGACGTGATCATTCAGTTCCATGAGCGAATTACAAACTATTCTATCATATTTTGTGTATCTTCAAACCAGGTTGCATTTTTGGTATTACATCCTCAATCTTATGTATTTTCTTTTGGAACACAGTATTGGTGGTTGGGCATTAGACAGTGAGTGTGAGTGTAAACCAGTAGAGTAACAAAAAAGGCAAAGAAACTAAGAAAAGCTGTTTGATTCAGGCAGAAAAATTTGATCTTCCAAAAATATGTGATGAATTTATTGGACTTTTAAATAATGCAGCATAAGCTCACCACTGAAGAAAATGTATTTCATGTGATCTTTAAAGCCCTATAAATATATAAAACCCTAAATATAAAATAAATCCTGTTCTTGATTATATAGTTTTCATTTTATCAATAGCCATTCAGTATATCTACATTCTGTAATTTCCACTTTATATAGTAGTTTCAGTTGGTGGTGGAGTCTGCCATTAGACTGGATTCATAGTCTGTAAATGCATACAGTAAACTCCTTACTCTCCTACAGCCGAATCAGAGCTGTATTTAAGTCCAGTGTGTAACTGTAATGTTCATAGGTATGTTTTCATTAGTGTATAATCACCCGGAAAAAGATAATTGTTGTTTTCTTTACCTTAGAATGAGTCATTTTTATGTGGGAGTGGGTCCTCTTCTACAGAGTCCGCCATGTTGAACCAGGGTGTTTCTACAGTAGCCCAGAATGGACAAACCAAACTGATTCTAGATGCGGCCTTTCGAGAGTTTCGTGGTCACTGTAGTTTCTTAAAGATACCAGGTCAAAAAGCAGTCTCTTATTGCCGCCTGTGTTGCACTTCATCCCCATTCGACAGTGATGTCACAATACACTGACACAGCCTTGAGTACACTTCTACATCACTGCAGCAAGGTGAGAAGTAATACCACTGATGGTCAGTAAAAACAAGATTTTCAGCTGGTGTTAAGTGGCTCTTGAAGACATCTTTCATTTGAGCAGGGAAATGGCCCTGTGCTTATTTAATTTTCTCTCTCTCTCTCTCTCTCTCTCTCTCTCTCTTTCATTTCATTTCTATAAATAGACGCTTGGCAACTTAGTTGTAGTCCACGCAGAACAAATGCAAAAATCCAATATTGATACGTCAGCAGATTTTTCAGAAACTCACAATATAAACACACTTTAATAAGGATCCCTTTTAATTGTTTTTTTTAAAGAATCTTTTATATCTTTGGGAATGTTTTATATCTTTGGGAACAGTATCACTCACCTACCAGCCCAATACCGGGGGGAAACCTTCTGTTTTCCTATTATAGTACAGTATTTACCTCTTGACTCCCACTATAATGCTGCAGACTGTCTATAAACCGTGAGAAGAGCCCACAGTGGATACATAAAATTCCAGTGCCTTTGAGCAAAACTGTAAAAAACATGAGAGAATAATTTGTGCATAACATTACACAGGCTATGTCATCTCAATACCCATAGTGCTTCCAGAGATATTTCAAGAGTTTGTACATTAAGAAAGTGTGTTAGTTATTTAACACTATAAACCAAAAATGAACTTGCCCAGTTTGATCATTTAAAGTAATTCATTTATTTGCTGCTTCCAGCTTCTCCAATGTGAGGATTTTTGGACTGTTAAAGAAGTCAAATTAATAAAGTTAAGAATCACTTTTTCAACATTTTCTGAACTTTTAGAGATCATAATGATTAATTAGAAAGATAATTAAGATTAATAAAAAACACTCCTTTAGTGCAGCTGTAACTTTGTGTTTTTATCAATCCCTTGTCCCAGTTAGGAAACTAAGCCACTGAAGCTGTGGTCAGTGAAAGCCTCAACCTTCACTACTGACTCACTTAAATGTCACTTTCAGAGAGCTGCAGAATCACAGGAAAAAATAGACTTATTCTGCATGAGGGAGGAAGGAAGGAGGGAGGAATGGAGGGAGGGAAGTGAGCAGGGAAATGGCCCCTGTGCTTATTTTATTTCGTCTCTCTCTCTCTCTCTCTCTCTCTCTCTCTTTCATTTCATTTCTATAAATAGATAGACGCTTGGCAGCTGAGGGGTAGTCCACGCAGAACAAATGCACCCCCTGGCTGCTTCACTTCATTCCCCACATAATGAGCCAGACGGAACGCGCACAGATCGCCGCCGTCACTTCCACTCTCCCCAT